AATTTAAAATGCATAATTTCAGTTAGGGTGAAGAAAAGCTTTAGGCTTCTCCTCTGAGGCCACAAGAGGGCGCATCGAGCAAAATATTACTAATGCACGTTTATTCAAAGCATAAGATAAAATGACTGGAAAAAAGTGCATAATGTTTAAAATAATGTTTATAAACCAGTTATAATTAAGTTGCTTAAACAACTATAAACAAAACAAATAAAGTCTCGAGATATGTTTATTCAAAGTTGAACTTGCATTAATTTTACATGGCTTTCTAAACATGCGGCTCCTTTGTGCGAGACGCGAGTGCAACGGTAATAGATGTCCCTCTAGAAAATGCGCGAAATATGTGTTCTGTGTGAACGGCGTGGTTTCAGTTTTGATGCAAACAAGATCTTCTCCGCATTGATGTTCCCTTTTTCCGCAATATTTTTAATGAACAACGCAGCAGCGCCACATCTAGTGGCTTCAACTGGATAGGCTAACAAAAACATTATAATGCAACGACACTTCCATCGTTATCGCATCTCGTGCGCCACTGATAAGGCTGCCTCCTTAACGCACACCTAAAATTCGAATGCAACGTTTTTGCACTCAAATGTGGATTTTTATTTTAAATTCGACGAATATTCAAAATTTGAATTTTTTTTTTGACAGCCCTACAAGGTAGTACTTGGTAGTGTCACTACTGAGAAGCAGCTTCATCTTTGACATGTGCATTATGGGAATCAAAAGACATCAGGTCACAGGATACGGCCTCTGCTCTGCCCTCAGACAAGCTGCTCTTTTGAGACTTTGGCTCATCAGAAAAACCCTGATTGACACCATCACTTTCTGAGGAGAAAGGTGAGGACTCGTTGGGTTGCATGGGATACTCTGCAGGTGCGGCAGATGACTCGAGATGAAGGGCGGCGGGGTCAATGAGCAGGGAAGAGATGTCTATAGGAGGCACAGAAGAGTCGAGAGACGAGATTGAAGAATTCATCAAAGATGCCATGTCTGTCAGCATGCTATGATCAAGAGGCAGATTTGGGAGAAGAGGGTGTGAGAGAGAAAGGGGAGGAGAAACATCTGAAGGTGGTGCAACAGAAGAACTGAAATCCACAGCAGGATATTCCTCTGTATTTTGCTCCTCAGGGTTACGACTAGGAACCTCACTATCTTGAAGCTCCTCTGCAAAGAGAGACATTTTGCACATTTTACGACCTAGACTTTGACTCACAGATTGAATTCTGTTCGCCTAAATTTAGCAAGGTGGCCTCACCAACACCTGATACGTCAATGTCCTCTCGGACAGCTAGGGATGTGTTTGTCATGTCAATGGAAGAAGTGGATAGGTCCAGTCGGTCTGCTATGTCTGACACCTCCGAATTCATCATGGCCACTTCTGACTGATCCGAGAAACCTGGAGGAACCATTGCT